CACACACACACACACACACACCCGTCCGTGGAAAAATTCCATAAAACTGGTTCCCGGTGCCAAAAGGGTTAGGGACCACTGCTGTGTAGAGCATATTTGATATACCGTTTGATTCCCCCTCCAGGGCCATTTCATTTTACTAAGTAGAAGTCACAACTGCATGAACTTGGTTCTCTTTTCAGTTCCTCAAGAGACAAGACTTACTGAATGTCCTGGCCCGAATGATGAGGCCTGTGAGTGACCAAGTGGTATGTACTCTTCCATGGGTTTTCTGTGGGCAGATGGACTTCTTTCCTTCTTTTTTTTTTTTTTTTGAGTTGGTGTCTCACTCCTGTTGCCCAGGCTGAAGCGCAGTGGCATGCTCATGGCCACTGCAGCCTCGACCTGCTGGGTTAGGCAATCCTTCCGCCTTAGCCTTCCAAGTAGCTGGAACCACAGATGCATACCATCATGCCCGGCGAGGTGTGTGTGTGTGTGTGTGTGACTTATTGTAGAGACAAGGTCTCACCAAGTTGCCCAGGCTGGTCTCGAAGCCCTGGGCTTAGATAATCCTCTCACCTCAGCCTCCCAAAGTGCTGGGATTACAGGCTGAGCCACCACGCCCAGCCCGAACTTCTTAGAGATTATTCCATTCCTGGATTGCATTTGGAGTTTCTGGCAACTTTGGCAAGGTCAACCCTTGCCGAAAAATTGACCCTTTTCTATTTAGACAGATCATCTCCTTCCACTCTGTGCAGCTGTCAGGGGGCCCTTGTGGGCCTTTTGTGGGGAAGGAGAATAATAACCCATCTCCACATAGATCAGCCGGCTTATCCTTGATGATATAGGGAAAAGCAGGGTCAACTCCCCTCATGCCTGGCTCAGCTCCTTGTGTGTGCACATATCCTTGGCAAAGTGCTGGGTTTCTTCTCAAATATTTTTTGCTTCAAATAATACATTTTTGACTGAAGGAGCTGAAATCACGATGTTGATACTTTGTTTGGTGTACCTTCTTCCTTTCTTAATATGTGTATCTGCAAATTGTGCCTTTTGTCAGAAGTGCCACATTTCTCCTCTCTTCATTCTTTTGATAAATAAGTAATTAATAAATTAATAATAAATAAACAAATAATTGTGCTGGCTCCCACTGTATAAGAAACAAGACATTTTCTTCTGTAAACTAATAGAACAAGAAATATGTATTATTATGTCCAAGTACAAATTAGTATTTGGTTAATAAGTACTGTGTGAATGATATTGATAAGGCCCTTTAAAATGTTATTAGATTAAAAATCATTGTTACTGTTATTAAGGTCTCCTTTTTAAGTGTCAGCCTATATCTTTGTTTTAGTTTTTCTAGTCTGGCCATGATGATTTAATCCACTAAAATTTAGAACCCCATCATTTAATGCCCCGTCATCCTTTCTCCCATCAAACACCACCTTTTTTTTTTTTCCTGTGTGTTAGAGTTTCACTCTGTTCCCCAGCCTGAAGTGCAGTGGCACACTCACAGCCACCACAACCTTGACCTGCTGGGCTCAGGCGATTCTTCCGCCTCAGCCATCCAAGTAGCTGAAACTACAGGCATGTGCCACTATGCCCACCTACTTTTTTTTGATTTATTGTAGAGATGAGGCCTCACCAAGTTGCCCAGGCTGGTCTTGAACCTGTGGGCTCAGGCAGTCCTGTCACCTCAGCCTCCCAAAGTACTGGGATTATAGGCATGAGCCACCGTGCCTGGCCAAAACACCATCTTTTTTTTTTTTTAACATTACAAAATATAGTTTATTTAGAAAGTAAGTGAGAGAAAGAGAGGATTCACCTCTCCAGGGTAGGAGAGGGGGCCAAAGCTTAGGAAACATGGTGGTAGCCATAGCTCATAAGCATATGGCCACACCAGAGCCTATAAAGCAGTGGATCCTGAAACACTATCTTACTAGAGGAAAGTTTGCTGTCTCCTCAGCCATCTTTTTATAGAAAGTATTCTTGGGTGTTTTAATTATTTCCAGTTCCCTTCTGGGGTAGATTTATATTTTCCTCTGAATCAGCCTCTCTCTCTTTCCCTGCTTCTCTGTGCGCCCCCCTTCCCCCCAGCAAGCATGTAGCTCTTTATATTTATTTACCCTTTCCTGGATTCTGTGTCAGATGTTGCTTTGTGTAATTTCCCTTCAATGAAAGAGCAGAAAACCTTTCATTTTACAGCTGCGTTCTTTCTGGTCCTTTCCCTCCATTACCGTTTTCCTTCTTCCACATGCTGATCGTTGTTTGGCCCAAACATTTTTAAGATATAATGACTATGACAGATAAGGCCATGATGTATCATATCAGACACTTAGACTTATTGGTTTTATCTTTCTGGCCCAGTCAGAATACTAGTAAATGCTTACCTGCCTGTGTTGTTTTCCAGTGCCAACAACCAGTTCTCAGATTCTTTGCATGCCAGCTGGTGTCCAGTGATGTCATTCAGATACTGTCTATCTGGGGAAAGCCTCAGATCACTCAAGTTAAAGGGGTCAGTCTCACAAGACTGCCCCAACTTCAGGTGCAGCCGAAGGTCCCACCCAGGTCACCCACATTGCCACATGTACGTCTGACCAACTGACTATAAACAGGGTTCCCATGACTTCCCTTCATGACCCATAATTTGTTAGAATGACTCCTAGGACTCAGGAAAACATTAGGTTTGCTGGTGTATTATAAGGGATGAAATTCAGGAGTAGCCAAAAAAAAAGAGAGGCACAGGACAAGATACTGGGTGGGGGTTTTCTGGGAGCTATCATGCCTTCTCTGAGCACCACCCTCCCAACAGGTTGGTGTGTTCACCAGCTTAGAAACTCTGATTCTTGTTCAAGGGATTTTATAGTCTGGAAGTGGTGGCATGTGCCAGTAATCCTAGCACTTTGAGAGGCTGAGGACGGAGGATCACTTGAGACCAGAAGCTTGAGACCAGCCTGGGCAACATAGCAAGACCCTGTTTTTACAAAATGTAATGATTTAAAAGACTAGCCAGGCAAAGTGACGTGCGCTTTAGTCCCAGCTACTTGGGAGGCTGAGGCAGGAGATTCACTTGAGCCCAGGAGTTCAAGGCTACAGTGAGCTGTGATTGGCCCGTGCACCCCAGCCTTTGCAACAGAGGGAGACCCTGTCTAAAACAAAAAGTTTTGTAGAACTCAATCTCTATCCTCCTTCTCTTCCCCAGAGGTTGAGGCAGGACTGAAAAGTTCTCACTCTCTAGGCACTTGGTTTTTCTGATAACCAGCCTCATCCTGAGGCTATCTAGGGGTCATCCTAAGTCACCTTGTGTGTCCTGTCCCCCTTCCCCCACAAGCCCCTTCACACTTTGACTCTCCAAGCAGGGCCCAGTCCCTTTTAAGGGTGTGATTGACTAGGTTGGGTACACCCAAGATAATGTCCCTTTTGGGTAATTAAAAGTCAACTGATTGGAGACCTTCGGCCATGTAACAGCCCAATTATGGGAGTGATATTTTATCATGTTCACAAATTCCTCTCACTTAAGGGAAGGATGTATACACAAGGAGGGTGAGAATCTTAGAGGGCATGTAAAAATCTGTCTACCACAGAACCTGACAAGTTTTATTGTTGTTTTAAAGCAAATAAAAGTAACCATGAATGATGAAGACATGGATACCTATGTGTTTGCTGTTGGCACACGGAAAGCCTTGGTACGACTGCAGAAAGAGATGCAGGATCTGGTATGTCAGATTGTTCCAAATTGAATATCCGTAAAAACAGTTTCTGTTACATGGGTGTTCAGCTTTTTAGCGTAGGATATTTATATCACTTAAATGTCATGAAGCACCTCTTGGAAATAGGTTAGTACATTTTCTTTTGAGAGAAAAATGTTTACGCATATATGAAATGTCATGTCTAACTTTCAATTGCTTCTTTCTCTAGAGTGAGTTTTGTAGTGACAAACCTAAGTCTGGAGCAAAGTATGGATTACCAGACACTCTGGCCATCCTGTCAGAGATGGGAGAAGTCACAGAAGGCATGATGGACACAAAGGTAAATACAAGACAGCTGCCGGATCTTGGCATTCACAGGGCCTCTCCCTGCAAGTCTCACTGTATGGTTTTCATTTTTTTTTTTTTTTTTTTTTGAGTTGGAGTCTCATTCTATTACCCAGACTGGAGTGCAGTGGCCGCTCCTGGCCACCACAGCCTCGACCTGCTGGGCTCCCGCGATCCTTCCGCCTCAGCCTTCCAAGTAGCCGGAATTACAGGCATGCACTACCACGCCTGGCTGATTTTTTGATTTATTATAGAGATGAGGTCTCACTGCCCAGGTGGGTCTCGAACCCGCGGGCTTAGGAAATCCACTCACCTCAGCCTCCCAAAGGTGCGGGATTACAGGCTGAGCCACCGAGTCCGGCTTGTTTTTCATTTTATGGCAGTGTACTAGGTGTGTATTCCTTACTCACACAAATGTTAAAATACCTTCTTTAAGCAACAGATTAACTTGTCAAGAGGACATTTTGATTTGTCGAGAAATTCTTGAAGGCAAAAGTGAATTGTTCCTGGTGTTGCAAATAATCAAGTTTTTTTGGAAAAGGAATGCAACTTTAGTTCTTTTGAGCTTCAATTAGTGTGGGAGAAGAGGGATATATAGAGAGCCTTTTTTGTTTTTTTATTTTGGGGTGTTTTTTTTTTTTAGTTGGAGTCTCCTTCGCCCAGGCTGGAGTGCAGTGGCACACACGCTCACAGCCACCCCAGTGTCATCCTTCTGGCCTCCAGCAGTCCCTCCGCCTCAGCCTTCCAAGTAGCTGGAACTGTATTACAGACGTGCACTACCACGCCCCGCTATTTTTTAAAGTTTTATTTTATTCTAGAGACGAGGTCTCACCAAGTTGCCTGGGCTGGTATCAAACCCGCAGGCTCAAGCAATCCACTCACCTTGGCCTCCCAAAGTGCTGGGATTACAGGCTGAGCCACCGAGCCCAGCCTGTCTTTTTTTTTTTAAAGAGACAAGGTGTCACTGTATTACTCAGACTGGAGTGCATTGGCTATTCACAGGCATGGTCAGAAAACAGTGCGGCCTCAGCCTCCTGAGTAGTTAGGACTGCAGGTGCATGCCTCTGTGCCCAGCTAAGGGAGTCATTTCTCTCTACTGTTGTATAATAGTAACACATCTTAGTGTCATAAAAATATAGTACAACTGGTCAGGCTCGGTGGCTCAGCCTGTAATCCCAGCACTTTGGGAGGCAAGTGGATTGCCTGAGCCCGCTGGTTGAGATCCACCCAGGCAACTAGGCGAGACCTCATCTTTACATTAAATCAAAAATTAGCTGGGTGTGGTAGCGCAGGCCTGTAGTTTCAGCTACTTGGAAGGCTGAGGCAGAAGGATTGCCAGAGCCCAGCAGGTCAAGGCTGCGGTGGCCGGGAGTGCGCCCCTGTACTCCAGTCTGGGCGACAGTGAGACTCCGACTCAAAAAAAAAAATGTGTGTTTATATATATATATGACAACTCAGAGGTAGTTCTAAGTATAAATTCAAGGTGACATGTTTATAAAGAGTGCCCTAAAATTTTGAGTCATGTTTTCAGGTGTCAATAAGACATTTAATCATTGGTGTGACGGAAGAAGGGTACTAGTTTTATTTAAATAAAATAAGGAAAGGTTCCTTGTCTTATTTAAATTAAATTTTTTTTTAACCTTGGTCTTAAGACATTGTGCCAAGGTAAGGAGGAGCGAAAGGTGAATATCTTGATGAAAAAAGGGAAATGCATTAAACTCTATTTTTACAAATATGTTCTTTTTTTCAGATGGTTCACTTTCTTACACACTATGCTGACAAGATTGAATCCATTCATTTTTCAGATCAGTTCTCTGGTCCAAAAATTATGCAAGAGTACGTATGAGATAAAAGTATTGAAATTAATTTCTCACAAGCTTTCTGTGTTGAAACACCTGCAAGGTACTTCTGCTATGTCCCTTACCAGATGAGTGAGGGAAGTTGGTGGCAGGCCTCCAAGCCTTCTTTTGCTTTGACTGCATGCCTATGAGAAGTCATTGAAAACCTGATAGAGACGAACAAATGAGCCAACCCTCCCCAGTTGGCATGTGTCCCTGCCTGTGTGTACCACCCACTCAGTGAGGCCAGTGTAATCTTAAAGAATGGCTGGAACTAAGAACATGCAGCTGCTTGATTTTCTTTTCCTTTGTAACCTAGGTTCTTATGATATTAATTTGTGTTGTTTGACTTGTTTGATTGCAAATCTGTATGTTTTGTAACGTGTGGGTTTTTCTGTGTTCCGTCTTTGAGTACCTGGGTGATTGTATCCTTTCCTAGCATGTAATCAGATGCCCTCAGTGCCCACGGTGTCTGGCTTTCTAGTAATAGTGTTTAAGTGTACATAGGCAGGGCTTGGCTTTGTTCACACTGTAGCATTCATCAAGCCCTTTGTGTGTGGGAGGGAGGGGCAACTGATAGCTAAAGATTACAAAGGCATTTTGATGACAAAACTAAATTATATATGTGGTAGTAGACAAGCCCTAATTTATTCTGAGCCCAACTCAAGCATAAGCTAATAAAATAGGAAGATAGTGTAGGAGTTACAAATAAAACACTTAAAAAATACATCAAAATTAACAGAAGTGCTGCTTAAAGTCAGGTCTCCTACTTAAATACAGGCTCATTTCTGGCTCCCAGGTGAGATGGGATGTACCCTGCCTGGAGGGAACATAACTAGAGGTGTCTGAGTATAGGACAAAGACCCTTGAGGGTACATCCATCCGATAGCGGGCAGCCAGGTGGCCTGTAATGCTCCCTTGGGCTGTGAGATTCTGTTTGCCTTGGAGATTGTGCCAGTGATTGCAGGTATATGTCCATCTGAGTCGGGGGTGCATGTGTGCATGGACAATGTCCTTACATTCCTTCTTAGTAGGCTTTTCTGTTACAACAGGGAAGGTCAGCCTTTAAAGCTACCTGAAACCAAGAGGACACTATTGTTTACATTTAATGGTAAGTGTTCTTGGGTCCTGTTTGGGTTCTTAGTTTTCTGTGAGTTGATCTTAAGGAGAATGTTATTCCCTCCAAAATGGTAGCTGTCAAACTATACTAAAAGTAACCCCATGCATGCTTACTGATTTCCAGGATTCTTCAAGCTGAGAAACTTTTATATATTTTCATTTCTATTTTCTGCTGCATTTTAACTGCCTGAGAAACATAGAAAAAGGAGTCTAAGCTGGGCTCGGTGGCTCAGCCTGTAATCCCACGCCTTTGGGAGGCTGAGGTGAGTGGATTGCCTGAGCCCGTGGGTTCGAGACCCGCCTGGGCAGGCGAGACCTCATCTCTACAATAAATCAAAAAATCAGCCGGGCGTGGTAGCGCGCGTCTGTAATTCCGGCTACTTGGAAGGCTGAGGCAGAAGGATCACCGGAGCCCAGCGGGTCGAGGCTGCGGTGGCCGGGAGCGGCCACTGCACTCCAGTCTGGGCAACAGAGTGAGACTCCAACTCAAAAAAAAAGAAGCATTCAGACTGCAATTAACTCAATAGGAATAATGGTTTTGTTTTCCAGTGCCTGGCTCAGGTAACACTTACCCTAAGGATATGGAGGCTTTGCTACCCCTGATGAACATGGTGATTTATTCTATTGATAAAGCCAAAAAGTTCAGACTCAACCGAGAGGTAAGACCCAACGCTTTTATTATAAATTAGTGTCTTTTTATTTTTTTCCCCCGGGGGGAGGGGCAGGGAAGCTATCAGTGACTTGAATTATTCAATTGCAAGTTAACTTGAAAGTGCCAAGTGGGAGTAATTTTATGAAAGTGCTGAGTGGGATTTGCTTCTGTTGGCTAGAAATGGATTACTTATGAAACACTTTGTTTTTTGGGGAAGGGCAAACAAAAAGCAGATAAGAACCGTGCCCGAGTGGAAGAGAACTTCTTGAAGCTGACGCATGTGCAGAGACAGGAAGCTGCACAGTCTCGGCGAGAGGAGAAGAAGCGAGCAGAGAAGGAACGCATCATGAATGAGGAAGATCCTGAGAAGCAGCGCAGGCTGGAGGTGGGAGGAGCTTTTTCTACCACTTTGGCAAAACTGAGGGGTGTAAGGATGCCTGTTTGTGTCATATTAGTTATCCAGTTAATTCTGTGTGAGAATATACACAGGCTAAAAATTGAGCATTTTCTCAGCCTTTGAGATGTTGTGTCAATTGATAGCACTATAATGAGAAATAAATAAGCCCTCCTGTTCAAACCATGGGAGATTTGAGTCTGTGGGCCTAGAAAATGATCTGAATCATCCTGTTCCCCAGCACAATTTCATTTTTGAAAAGTCCACTATCATTTTTCAAGCCACATACTAACTGCAATACAAAGAAATCAGAAATTTTAATAAAAGCTAGCACGTGCACCTTATGGTCTAAATAAGCTTGTTATATAAAATTTAAAATTTGATAATAAGCTGGGTAGGATAGCTCACGTCTGTAATCCCAGCACTTTGGGAGGCAAAGACAAGAGGATTACCTTGAGTCAGGGGTTCGAGACCAGCCTGGGCAATTTGGCAAGACCTTGTCTCTACAATAAATTTAAAAAATCAGCCGGGCATGGTGGCACGCACCTGTGGTTCCAGCTACTTGAAAGGCTAAGGTGGAACGATTAAATTAGCCCAGCAGGTCGAGGCTGCAGTGATCATGAGCGTGTCACTGCACTCCAGACTGGGTTACAGTGAGACTCCTACTCAAAATAAAAATAAGAAATAAAAATAAATAAAATTTGATAATCGAATTAGAAGATTTTTTTTTTGGAGTTGGAGTCTCACTCTGTCACCCAGACTGGAGTGCAGTGGCCGCTCCTGGCCACCGCAGCCTCGACCTGCTGGGCTCCGGCAATCCTTCTGCCCAGCTTTCCCTTGTTTTCTATTTTTAACATAGTTAGAATCTCAAACTCAATAACGTTTTAGGCCATTTTGTTTCAAAATCAGCATGTTCTGACATATCTAAAATTTAAAACTTGTAAATGCTGGTAGATATTTTTCCCAGGAAAATGCAGCTCTGTGTTATTCAGTCTTTATAAATACAAATAGCTTTTTAAAAATGTATACACGTGGCCAGGCTCGGTGGCTCAGCGTGTAATCCCGTGCCTTTGGGAGGCTGAGGTGAGTAGATTGCCTGAGCCTGCGGGTTTGAGACCCGCCTGGGCAGGCAAGGCCTCATCTCTACAATAAATCAAAAAATTAGTCGGGCGTGGTAGCGTGCGCCTGTAATTCCAGCTACTTGGAAGGCTGAGGCAGAAGGATCGCCAGAGACCAGTAGGTTGAGGCTGTGGTGGCCGGGAGCGGCCACTGCACTCCAGTCTGGGCGACAGAATGAGACTCCAACTCAAAAAAAAAAAATGTATACATGTGAAGAATCTACAAAGGAATTATTAATAGATAATACTGTTTATTTTTCTATGAAAAAGAAAATTCTCCATTTCCAAGGTTTGAAACTACAATGAGTTAAAGGAAAAGTGAGGTATGGAATGTAACTTGAGGCAGATTTTAATCTTCTTGAAGATGTAACCCATTTATTTTTCTGGAACCACCACTTTATAATGTCTGACCGGGTGCCTTGTGAGAAGATCCAGTGATCCAAATGGAAAAGGAGCCATAGAAAGAAGGAAAGTTGCCGTCAGTTTCTGGCCTGACTGGCTTGTTCACGCAGATGAGCTCGATCTCCTGCCGCTGCTACTGTAGCACTTTGTTTTGTTTTCTCATTGCTTAATTTCAAAAATATGGAGCCACATATACATGGAAGTTAAAATTAGGCCGGGCTCAGCGGCTCAACCTATAATCCCAGCATTCTTTGGGAGGCTGGGGCAAGGGCATTGCCTGAGCCCGCGAGTCTGAGACCAGCCCGGGCAGCTTGGTGAGACCTCATTTCTGCAATAAATCAAAAATTAGGCGTGGTAGCGCGTGCCTGTAGTTCCAACTACTTGGAAGGCTGAGGTGGAAGGAGCGCCGGAACCCAGCAGGTCGAGGCCACGGTGGCCAGGAGCAGCCTCTGCACTCCAGTCTGGGTGACAGAATGAGACTCCAACTCAAAAAAAAAAAAAAAGAAGAAGTTGTACCATTTATGCCCCCTTTTTTGAGTTGGTGTCTCATCCTGTCGCCCCTGTTGGCATGCAGTGGCACAGTCACTGGTCCCTGCAGCCTCAACTTCCTGAACTCGGATGAACCTTCCACTTCAGCCTCCTGAGTAGCTGAGACTACAGGCATGTGGCACCATCCCCGGCTAATTTTTAAAATTTGTTTTGTAGAGATGAAGTCTCTTCAGGTTGCCCAGGCTAATCTTGAATTCTTTGACCAAGCAATCACAAAGTACCTCTGTCTCCCAAAGTGCTGGTATTATAAGTGTGAGTCACCATACCCAGCCCCACTTTATACTTTTACCAGTATGTGATATAAAATCTCTACTCACATCTTTTTGAAAACTAGTTGTCAGTTGTGTGTGGGGGGGTGGGGTTTGTTTTGTTTTTGTGTGACTCTGATGGTGGGGAAATGTTACTGCATTTGTTTTGTGTTTTTGGGTGATTATTGAAATTGAGCTTTCTTCAAATGTATTGATTGACCTTAACATAAATGTCTCTTAAACATGTGAATACAGACATATTTCTTATTCATGATACTGTATTGTGTGTCAGTAGTTTCTCGTGTGTATACTATAGGACAAGGAGTAGTCTTGCAGGGGAAAGAATGAATATGATGGAGGTATAGGGGTTGGGACAGTGGGAAGAGGACACTAGGACACTACTTTGACTCCTTGATGTGGCTGCCCCAGAAGAGCAGATAGCTTTTGAGGTATGTGCTGCTGCTGCTTGGTTGCTTTTGAGCCCTCGCAGGAGGTAGCAGCACTGCCAAAAAAGTGGGTTCATTCCTGCCTTGGTGAATCCAAACTCAGAGTGCATTTTTTCATGAAAGCAGTATTAGCATCACTGGTTCTGTTTTTCAAGCTACTTACGCAATAGCACAGCTATGGATACATAAGCATTCAAGCATACATCGCTGCGTAGAGGCATAGGGCTTTGTTACCTAGTGGGAAACAATATAGTGAACAGCTGCCAAACCAGGAATTTACAAATCACCTTTGCAACCTAGTTTGTAATACTCTCAAGTACTGAGGATGTTTAGTGCATCTGCCTTTCCTCTGCCATATTTTCTTGATCCTGTGTCAGTGGAGGAATCTGTTTCTTAGGACATTTCTATCCCAGTCCCCTAAAAATACGAAGTTTGAGATTGCAGCCGAAGTAAGCTTTAATCAGGTATGACCACTCATGACCAACAGTGAAGCTATACTTTGACTTGGCCTCTAAGATTTCCCTTGGTCCAGGTAGTAATTACCTGAAGGTCCTTTCTTTTCTTCTGCACAACTTCCTAATTCCTAAATAAAAATATGGTAAGAATTCTCAATTGAACATGTTGAGTTGAAGTATTGTGCTTAGGTATGTTGTCTGTGCTACTAAGAAGAGATTGGCAATGAATAACCTGATCGAACAAGATTTTTTTTGTCTTTTAAATATTTTATTTATTTATTTATTTAAAAGATGTGGGGTACAATTCAGGGTTAGGCAGGTACCATTGTTGATGAGGTGTACCCCTCCTTCCCCTAGCAGTTTCCTCTACTGCCAATCCCTTTCTTATAGTATTATGATAATTATTCAAGGTCTGCTTATGAGAGAACATATGGCACGCTGTTGTTTGTTTTTGTGATAGAGCACTGAGTATGATCGACTCTAAATCCATCCAGGTTGCTGCAAAGTCCATATGTTTGTTCTTTATGGCTGCATAATATTCCATTGTGTATATGTACCACATTTTTTTAATCCAGTCCGGCTTCGATGGGCAGGGTGGTTAGTTCCATGTTTTTGCTATTGTGAATAGAGCTGCAACAAACATTCCTGTGTAAGTATCTCTTGTAGAATGATTTGAGGTCTCTCTCCTCCCCCCCATATTCCCAACAGGGGAATTGCTGGATCATATGGAGGATCAATTCCTAGTTCTTTCAGAAATTGCCACACTGTCTTCCAGAGAGGTTGCACTAGTTTGCATTCCCACCAGCATTGTAGAAGCTGAACAAGATTCCTAAAGTTTACTGAAGTACGATATATCCTTGGCAGATTCAAAGTTGTGATATAATGCCATCATAAATGATCTGATGAATGTTGGACTGGTATTTTCTGGTTACAGGAAAAATCAAACCCAAAAACAAAGCCTGGTTAGTTGTAATGGTTTCTTTCTACATTGAGATTTTAGTTACCTTTGCTTTATTTCAAGTTAATTTAATTTTCATTCATTCACGTAGGTATTGACAGTTATTTTTGTAATTATCTTCTAGCAAATGTGTGCGTAGAACTCAATTCAGATTCTTTTTCTTCCCCCCCCCCCCAGGAAGCTGCTTTGAGGCGTGAGCAAAAGAAGTTGGAGAAGAAGCAAATGAAAATGAAACAAATCAAAGTGAAAGCCATGTGAAGTCATCCCAGAAATTTGAGTTCTGATGCCACCTGTAAGCTCTGAATTCCCTGGAAACAAAACAACACCAGTCCATTTAACACCTTAAATTTTAGATACTCCAGCACCTGAGAATCCTTATTTCATCATCTACTCTACATATAATTTGGAGTTTTACGGAGGTTGGAGATGCCCTGAAGGGACTGTTTCAATAATTTTATTCCAGATAATCAAATTATTTTGATTATTTTATAAAAGAAATGATATATGAAGTCTGTAATTTTAAATATTTTTAAAATTATGAGTCATCAGTGCTTTTAGGACTTCGGTGTTTGACGAAATATCATGAAATTTATAGTTAGATAACTAGATTGTGGCTTTTGTTTAAACTGAACTGTTGAAATGGCTTTGAAGACTGACTTTAAACCAAGATTCCACAAATAGCTATTGAAATTGCACAATAAACATTGCTTGATGTTTTCTTGTGTGTCTACATTAAACTTGTGAAAAAGTAAAATTTAGAACACTGCATGTGGTGATGAAATTTCAGGAACTCAAAACATAATGCAGTATATGTTTTGTAGGTGGGAGGAGCTGAGGACAGTGTTAGGGAGATGTGTAAGTGTTAGAGTGGTGACATATACACAGACAGTTCTTGGGATGGTCATCCAGGAAGGTGGTTTTCTTCATACCTGATAGCACGAGCTAATGACAATGTGAATGCTGTATTTTAAGTGGTGGTATGTTTATTTTTCTTGAGTAACAAATGCATGAACATTTAGCACTTCCTGTGGATCAGATCACAGATCATTGGTCTATGTGAAGTCGCAGACGTTTTCCTTCTTGGTTGCTACAACCTACTGGCTGTCCATGGAGAAGCTCTGTTCTCTGTTATGGCTGTGTTCCTTGCTTCTCTATGCTTTTTTTCTCTTCCATGGTTGAGACTGGGTGTGTTCTTTCAGAGAAATAGCCATGAATATGCATAAGTATAATTTGAAAAATGAGCTTTCCTAAACTATTTTGAGAGTTCTTTCTGCTTCTTGAGGAAGAAACTCTTGGGGAAGAGGCCCATCTATCTGCACAAGCATTTAGCTTGTTCAGATCTCTGCATTTTATAAATGCTTCCTACTAAGAAAGCATTGTTTAGGTCACTGCTTGTACCGGGTAAGGGTTGGGTTTTTTTGCTGGGATTGGGGTGGTGGGTATTTTTGTTGATGCTTTATGTGCAGGTCTGGTCTGAGGCAATAACAATAAGTTGCTGTGAAAACAGCGTGTGCTACTGGTCTTTGTTAACTGCATGGAAACCTTTCACATGAGTTTTTCTCTAAGTTAATACAGAAATGTGTAAATTGGGAGATGCAGATGTCATATTTTTTAACAGTTCATGAAATTAAGTTATTAAAATAACAAAAGTAACATAAAACATAATTACTTTAATGCTCTGTAATTCTAGACTTAGCCCTGTTTTACAGACCTTTAAAATACATTTTAGAAATCAAAGTTGATAGTCTTAGTTACCTTTTGAGTAATAAAAGCTTTCTTGAAGTCCCATATGTTTGAAACATGGCAGCTAATTTTGTAATTTAAGCATTCATATGAACTACCTATGGATGTATATTAAACTGATTGACAAAAGTCTCAGAGTGCCGCCTTGACTTTCTGGAGTTGTCCTACAAGAGTATAAGCCCACAGGAAAAGTTCTTCCTCTTCAGTAAGTCAGCACTGAATGCTTTTCCTTCACAAGAGTTGGTCCTGAATATTCCCCTAGTCATTACCATTTAGTCACTTTTAGAATGTTTCCATTTTAGAGTCCCATATGTTATGTATGGCCTCCTACAAATGTGAGGACCAAGAGGAGAATGGTGTCTGCGGTCACACTGGAAAACCACTAAGTCCTCTATCCTCAACTGCACTGCCGGGGCAGTCAGCACTGCTATAATAAGCCCTGGGCTGGAAGACAGAGACCTGACTTTTAGGGCCAACAAAGCCAATTACTATCCTGTGACTTTGGGCAAGTCATGAATTTCTGTAAGGCGAGGATAGTAGCTATTTACCCTATCTACTTAAGTAGTTCAACACCAAGAGATGGTACCGAGTACTTAAAATTGTTTTGTAAATGCTTAAGCACTCAGCAAATTTCAAAGCTAGGACTGTTCTCCTAGTGATGCATTTTTGCTTTACTGTCTGCTTTTCTTTCTCCCAATGGAAACCAAGTGGCTCTTTTCAGAGTTCCTTTTTTTTTTTTTTTTTTTTTTTTTTTTAGAGAGACAGGACAGGGTCTTTCTGTGGACCAGACTGGAAGTAACACAATCATGGCTCACTGCAGCCTTGAACTTTTGGCTTACCAGAGATGCATTTTTTGAAGTGTGTTTTTTGTTGTTGTTGTTTTTGTAGAGATGGGGGGCGTCTCACAGTGTTGCCCATGCTGACCTTGAACTCCTGGCCTCAAGCACTCTTCCCACCTCGGCCTCCCATAGTGCTGGGATTACAGGTATGAGCCTTGATGGTTCTCTGACATTATATGCAAAAATTGATAGGGTATTTTTTTTGAGAAAGACAGAAATAGCTTAGGATTCTGTTTCCTTAGTAATGGGAAACTGTTGCCTGCCAAGCACCAACTGTGAAACTTCTTTCTTCAGTTAGGATTTATACCGAAGAAAACCATCAATTGAAACTCTCATTCCCCCCATTCAATAGGAGTAGACAATGTGAAGGCTTGACCTGTGTTGTCCCAGGGCCTGGGTTTGGGCAAAAGGGTGAAGTACTGTCCTTGATTCTCCGGGCTCTTTCCTTACTGTTCTGCCTCCACTCATCAGCCTTGCGAAAGGTTGTTGAGAGGGCGAAGTTTTCTTACCCATGAGAGTGACTTCTACAGACTGCTGAAAGTCTAGCTAAAAGAATTTTCTGAGCCGGGCTTGGTGGCTCAGCCTGTAATCCTGCGCTTTGGGAGGCCGAGGTGAGTGGATTGCCTGAGCTCGCGGGTTCGAGACCTGCCTCGGCGACTTGGTGAGATCTCATCTCTACAACAAATCAAAAAAAATTAGCCAGGCGTGATAGCGTGATCCTGTAGTTTAGGCTACTTGGAAGGCTGAGGCGGAAGCATCACCGGAGCCCAGCAGGTCGAGGCTGCGGTGGTCGGGAGCATGCCACTGCACTCCAGTCTGGGCGACAGAGTGAGACTC